AATAATGTGTTGAGTTGTGAGTCCATGCGATCGTTCACGGAGGTCGTGATTAGTTCAGGTTTCGATTACGTGTATGGTGGAAAGAAAGCCTTGGTTAGAGAAAACGTGTGCCTCAGCGATGAGCGCATTTTGGTACATCTGGTTAATGAAAAGACAGAGAGGGCACTCTGCTGACCAGGCCGGCTTACGACGCCTAAATCGCCCCTTCAGCCGGCCGACTTCGATCAGTAGGTGGACTTCAGACTTCGATACTCAGACTTCGACCATCGGACGGCAGCCGTTCATCGATCGGTCCGTCTGTCGAGGCCTGTCGAGCAGCGAACAAACACAGAAACGAGGCAATGATTGCGCAACGAAAGTTACCAGACCGAAGCAGGCCGGCAGTTACCAATACCAATACCTCCAAGCGCAGATTGGACTGAAATATCGCCTGCGATTTGTGCACCAGCTGGGCGAACGACGCGCTCAACGCCGTCATCTTCAAGCGGCCCTCGAAAGTCAGCTCCATTTGGTCGACGTCAATTTCGCCCAAAATTAAGTCCAAATCGACGAATGCCTTGTCGAACTCCTTCTCGAGCACCTCCAGCCAGCGCAGCAACGTCGACCGCGAACCGGACTTGCTGCAATCCATGCGGCGAACACACCTAATGACACGATTAGAGAAGCCAAAAATCACTCGTTGAACGCGAACTCGTTTCGGTGGTCATTACGATTCACTCGACGACCATCAGCCGACCTCCCGACGGGCGTCTGTCGAGCGGCTTTCGTCGGTGGTCGACGCTGCATCGGGAAGAAAGCCGACGAAACCCGTCTCTCGACGCTGAAGCCGGGTCGATGATTCGACCGACGGCGCAGTGCTGAGTGGGGGACATGGCGCGGCTACGGCGTCGAAATCGCCGTTACACGACAGACAACCGGTCTTGATGGTCATGATGGAACTCTGTCTGATATTCAGACAGAATCCATTCTGACGTATGGTCTCTGATCGTTCATCGAACACGTTCGCTCGTCAGCCGCAACTGGAAGAAACCGCGATCCGCAGTCCTCATCATATATTCGCTATTATGATATTATATATTTCACTGTTATATTAGGACTGCAAGTCAGCATCGGCAGGCACACGATCAAGCCTACAAATCGTATAAATCGTACAAATCTAGAACACCCCGATAGACGACTGCGCGTGGTCACAGATTAGCGAATTCCATCTGGCCGGATGATGATGTGCGATCGTCGTCTCCTTCCGTGCCAATCGCGACATGAAATGGGCATGTGCTACAGTAAATCAACTAATGGCAACGTTTGACTAAAGATCGATTATCGCCTGCGAGGCAGCTTCCGAAATTTAAACGGCTACCAATTCTCAGAGGTCATCGAAGACCGTTAGGCCATTAGATTTAATATTTGAAGCAAATTTTTGATTCGACCATAACTGAGCGGCTACCGGCCGATCTTTTTCCAAGCACGATCGAATTTTTTTTAATTTAATTAAATTGCAGTTTTTTCATACCTTAATTCTTCCCTGCGCTCGGCCTTCCGCTGAAGTACCACAAACATCACGGACTATATTATTATAACATTTGAGTGAACGCATGGGGCCTGAGTTTGCCACTCATTGAGGTCATTCACTGACCTCGGAAATTTTGCAAGTACAACTTGGAAATACCTCGTCAAGTCAGACGAGGAATGTTACCGTCGCCAGAGCAGCGAACATCTCTCAATATAAATACGCGACAATGTTTCAGGCGCTAAGGTATTACGAACCCGGCACCATTTCCGCCCATGATTTGCTAGTCTGTGCAACGGTAACCGTGTTATCAGAAAGAGACACGGCAAAGATTAATAGCCACATTGAGGAGTGACGTTTACCTTACTAATGGTTCTGGGCTATGCGATGAAAAATGTCTCCGCAAGGGACCTTCGATTATTTGTCACCAGTTCCCAACACAGCACAAGGACGCGAACCTGAGGAAATACTAAAAAGTTTCTGGGAGACATCGTGCTGTTGAGCAGCCAAGCTCATATGCTGCTCACATTCCCCGATTACAGCTGATAGATGATTCTGGAACTTTCATATAATCGCTTGACTACAAATCTAGTCAATCATTTAGAGTACTTCTTATCTGTAATGAAGTAGTAGGAGACTGTAATTCAAAAGTGAATCGGTATATCTACGATGCAATAAGACCGGTTAGCCAGCCGATTCATATCAAAAAGTCATTTCAACCGGTTGTACGGGGGATCGAAGTTTCTCAGTGATATCCCACGAATCATGTCCGCTGGTGAGCACGGTAATGAGGATCAAGTTGATCGCAGACAACCTAGTTTTCAGACTCAGCTCTGCTGTAGTCACAACGGATCAGGCTAGTTCACGCAGAACGCCGCTAGTCCTTCCAATTCATCAGTAAATCTATTCTTTTCATTTTTAACTACTAATGAACATGACACCGAAGTATGTTAACTTCTCCACCTGTTCCATTGGTCTCCGGTGTGTCTGCAGAGCGCAGGGATCAAGAGAACGAGGAAGCATAGGTCTGTCGTTTTAGGTAAGTTCACACGCATGCAGGTCACATCGCAGTCAGCTGCCAACCTTCCCAGAGAGCATTTAAAATTGGTTTCAGAAGATACCGCCAGCAGAAGGTCCGCGAACAGCAACCTTCCCGTCT